TGACAGGCCCCAGGGAATGGATCCCAGTGGGAAAGGGGAGATTTGGGGGGGAGATTGGGAAGGGATTCCCGACTGGGAGGGTGGGGAGGGGCTGGGCTGGAATTCCCAGAGAAGCTGTGGCTGCCCCTGGATCCCTGGGAGTGTCCAAGGCCGGGATGGATTCCCTGGGATAGCGGGAGCTGTCCCTGCCCATGGAATGGGATGAGCTTTGAGCTCCCTTCCCACCCAACCCATTCCAGAATTCCAGGCCGCCGCGGCGAAATAAATTCCCAAGTTTTCTCGGCCCCAAGCCCGACCCAAGGCGGATTTTGGGAATGCTGAGGGATTCCAAGGGCTCCCAGGTGGGAAGTGGGGGCCGTACCTCGTAGAAGAAGGGATGTCCCGCCATGTCAAAGATGTTCACCTTGATCTCCCGGTCCCTGATCTGCACCCTGGAAAAAAAGACGTGGGAATCCAGGGAATCCTGGAATTGGTCAGCTTGGAAAAGCCCTCGGAGAACGTCAGCTCCAACCATCCAAGGCCATCCCGGATCCGTGTCCCCAAGGGCCACATCCACAGGGATTGGAAATTCCTCTGGGAATGGCGACTCCAGCCCTGCCCTGGGAAGTTCAGTCCAATGTTTAACCACCACAATTCCATGTGGGAATTGTTCCCAATATCCAATTAAACTTCCTCTCTGGTTGTTCCCTTCTCCTCCTGTCCCTTGTCCCCTGGGAATTGGGGACTTCCCGAAACTTCCTTCCAGGGAATTGTGGAGAGCTGGGACAGTGCCAGGACGGCACAGGATCCTTAGGGATGGTTCAGGTTGGAAAATCCCCCTGGGATCACGGAATCCAACCACCCCCAGCACTGCCAAGGCCGCCCCGGATCCGTGTCCCCAAGGGTCACATCCACAGGGATTGGAAATTCCTCCGGGAATGGCGACTCCAGCCCTGCCCCGGGAAGTTCATTCCAATGTTTAACCACCACAATTCCATGTGGGAATTGTTCCCAATATCCAATTAAACTCCCTCTCTGGTTGTTCCCTTCTCCTCCTCTCCCTCGTTCCCTGGGAATTGGGGACTTCCTGGAATTTCCTTCCAGGGAATTGTGGAGAGCTGGGACAGTGCCAGGATGGCACAGAATCCTTAGGGATGCTTCAGGTTGGAAAAACCCTTGGAGATCACGGAATCCAACCATTCCCAGCACTTCCAAGGCCACCCCTGACCTGTGTCCCCAAGGGCCACATCCACAGGGATCTGAAATCCCTCCGGGAATGGCGACTACACCCCTGCCCTGGGAAGTTCATTCCAGTGCCTGACAGCCCTTTCCATGTGGGAATTGTTCCCAATATCCCACCTGCCCCTCCCCTGAACCAGCTGGAGGCCGTTCCCTCTCCTCCTGTCCCTCATTCCCTGGAAGCAGAGCCCGACACCCCCCTCTGCTCCCGCCCTCGTGGCTCATCCCAGTTTCCCAGTCCCATCCCATCTTCCCAACCCCGTGTCCCATCTCCGTGTCCTCACTTGGTGACTCCGTAGTCGATCCCGATGGTCGCCAGGTACTTGGACACGAACCTCTTCTCGCAGTACCTCTTTATGATGCAGCTCTGGGAAAAGGGGGGAAAACGGGAATCTCAGCGGGAATGGCCCCAAACGGCCCCATATTCCCAAAAAACAGGGAATTCCCAGCGCCTCCTGGACGCTTTAAGCAGCGCCGGCCCCGCCCCTTTGGCCTGGCAGCCAATCAGAACCGGCGATACAAGGGAGGTCCCGCCCCTTCGGCTGTCAATCATCCACCTGAACTGCCAATCACCCACCGCCGGCCCCGCCCCTTCGGGGCGCAGCCAATTAAAACCGGCGATACCGAGTAGGTCCCGCCCCCCTCAGCTGTCAATCATCCTCCCCTCAGGTGTCAATCATCCCCTCAGAGTTGTCAATCATCCGTCCTTCGCCACGCCCCCGGAGCTGTCAATCATCCTCCCCCCAGCTGTCAATCAGCCCCTCGGAGCTGTCAATCATCCTCCCCCTCAGCTGTCAATCATCCGCCCTCCGCCGCGCCCCCTCAGCTGTCAATCATCCACCTGCCGCCGCGTCCCGCCCCTGTCAATCATCCCATAGTTCCACCCTCCCCATCACACACTTCCCTCTGATTGGCTCGTGCAGCCTTCATTCCGCCAATCGGCGGCCTTCTCAGCACAGCGCCCGCCTTCCCCCGTTTCTCATTGGATACCCGCCCTGCCCCTCATCGCCCGCCCGCCAATAGCTGCGCCTCACCTTGCCCACCTCCGCGTTGCCCATGGAGATGACTTTAACCCGCAGCGACTTGCGCGGCTCCTTCCGCTTCGGCGCGTTGGGCTCCATGGCGGGCCCGGAGCGCTCCGGTGCCGGCGGAGGCGGCGGGAGGACGCGCGGAGTGTCGGCGGCAGGGAGGGAGAGCGGCCGTTCCGCATCAGCCGCGCCGCTCCGCGCCGCAGCTCTCGCGAGACTTCGGGAGCACCCGGCAACGGCAACGCTGCGGCCCCACTGAGTTCTCGCGAGATTTCGGCGCCCTTAACCACCGGCAGGTGGCGCCAGGGGAGCGGGGGGGGTGGTGGGGACAGGGCGGGGGTCACGTGTCACCGTCACGTGTCACCGTCACGTGTCACGGGTGTCACTGTCCCTGTTTATTGTCACTTGTTCCTTATCCTTTGTCATCCATCCCCTCGTCCCTGTCACTTGTCATCTGTCACTTGTCCTTTGTCACTTGTCCCCTGTCTCTTGGCCCATATCCATTGTCCCCTTGTCCCTTGTCCCCTGTCACTTGTCCTTTGTCACCTCCCCCTTGTCCCTGTCACTGGTCCCCTGTCTCTTGTCCCGTATCCATTGTCCCCTCGTCCCTTGTCCCCTGTCACTTGTCCATTGTCACTTGTCCCCTATCACTTGTCACCTTCACCTTGTCCCTTGTCCCCTGTCCCTTGTCCATTGTCACTTCTCACCTACCCCCTGTCCATTGTCCCCTGTCCCCATCCCTTGTCCCTTGTCCCCTCTCCCTTGTCACCTGTCCCCTGACCCCTGTCCCTTGTCCATTGTCCCTTGTCCCCTGTCCCTCGTCACCTGTCCCTCGTCACCTGTCCCTTGTCCCCTGTCACTTGTCCCCTGTCACTTTTCCATTCTCACCTGTCACCTTCACCTTGTCCCTTGTCCCCTGTCCCTCGTCACCTGCCCCTTGTCCCCTGTCCCTTGTCCATTGTCACTTGTCCCCTATCACTTGTCACCTGCCTCCTGTCCCTTGTCCCTGTCCCTTGTCCATTGTCACTTGTCCGTGTCCCTTATCCCCATCCCCTGCCCCCTGCTCCCGTCCTCTGTCCCTTGTCCCCATCCCTTGTCCTCTGTCCCTTGTCCCCTTGTCCCCTGTCCCCATCCCTTGTCCCCTGTCCCCATTCCTTGTCCCTTGTCCCCTGTCCCCATCCCCTGTCCCTTGTCCCTTGTCCCCTGTCCCTTGCCCTCAATGCCTTTGTTTTGTCCCTTGCAGCCCGGCAAGATCCTGTCTGGAATCCCGGAATCTTGGAATCCTGGAATGGTTTGGGTGGGAAGGGACCTCAGAGCTCATCCCATTCCATGTTCAGGGACACCTCCCGCTATCCCAGGGAATCCAACCCGGCCTTGGACACTCCCAGGGATCCAGGGGCAGCCACAGCTTCTCTGGGAATTCCAGCCCAGCCCCTCCTCATTGGGAATTCCATCCCAATCTCCCCCCCAAATCTCCCCTTTCCCACTGGGATCCATTCCCTGGCTCCTGTCATTCCAGGCCCTGATCCCAAATCCCTCTCCCGCTCTCCTGG